TATATTACAGCCTGAGCTAGTGGATGCTCCAAATACCGTAAAACTAAAAAATATGGAGTAGCGAAATAGCGAAATAGTTCGCTACATTTTTTAAGCAGTAGCTGTAGTCAGTAGCGAACTACCTTTGTTCAAAAGTAGCAGCAGTTGTAGCTGACTACATATTTTTGAAGTAGCTGTAGTTGTAGCGAACTACAAAAATTTTGTAGTCAACCCACCCTTGTTAATATCATATGTACAGTTTTAAAAGAGAACTAATGAACCAAATGCAAGTCCAAGTAGAGCTTTTGACAGTTTAGGAGAAAGCCCTGCGTACAAGTTAATGAGATGTTCTTTGTCGCATTTGTGCAAAATTTTACGCTCGATGACATTGAAAGCAATGATTCAAGTCTCTCCTGAACCATGGACGCGAAAACGAAAGCTCTGCCGTCGACGAACTAACTGGGATGGCCACAGCAATAGCATAAACGCGACAGAGAGTTGGATACGTATCAAACAAACTATAATCTCGATTACACAGGAGTGAAAGAGCTTGAGAGAAAGATGGAACTTTTTTCTTCGTTTGTTTTTCAGCTTTCTTGCCGCCGCTGTCGCTCTGCTCATTATCTGACGTGCTTGATATTTCGTCGTCCTCCTCCTCATCATCATCATAACAATCGTTGTCCTCGCCGTCATCGTCATCATAGTCATCATCGCCCTCGTCGTCTTCGCCGTCATCATCATCGGCGTGAATGCCAACGAACAGAATTAAGTCTCTTTAGGGAAAGGACTTTCAGGTTCTCTTCCAGTTGGACAGCTTCAAACAAATCATGGATTCTTTGTGTCTTGCTAAAGTGATCGTACAAGGCTTCGAGGTTATTGAAGAGGCTTATTACTTGAACATCAACACTTGCAGAGTCGGACAAAACAAGATTAAGCGTATGTGCACTGTCCAGGAAGGATTATTCTGCATGCCCTTTTTTGTAATTTCTCGAGGTCATCGGACAGATATTTAGGAAGAGAGTCATGGAACACTTCACACGCGTATTCAGCAACCGGCCGGATGCAAGTGACATAAAACAAAAGGAGGTAATTTGGTGGTAATTTGGCTGGTTTCAATTGTCTCAAAAAGTATAAGCGAGATACTTTTTTGCATACATTCTCAATATGTGTGTTCCATTTAAAATCGTTGGATATGGATAGGCCTAACAGTGTTGCAGACGGGACCACTTCAATTTCAATATTTGTTGTTGACAATAATAGGATCGAATTCGACATTTGTAGTGGAAAAGCTAATGCGAAGTTCTTTACACTTAGATCGATTCCTTAAGGCCCTATCGTACTAGCGTATGCCAGCGTATGAAAAATATCACTCATACGCCAGTATTGCTTCTATGTGCGCTCTAGCATAAATTTCTCGCCTCGCCTGGATCTGTCTAGCCATCAACTAGAAAATTTGTGCATTGAAATTCGAAAACCTAGTTCTAAACCATTCATTGTTTCGACTTGGTACAGGCCGCTTGATTTTACCAACGATAAATTTTCTTATTTCGAGTCGTTTATTGGTAGGCTTGATTCAGAAAATGTCGAATATTATCTTTTAGGCGATCTAAATTGCGACCTTGGCGCATCTGTTTTGGACCATAACTCTAGGTCATTAACCGACATTGCTGATTTATATGGTATGCATCAGCTGATAAATGAACCCACACGTGTTACTGAGTCATCTTCGACTATAATCGATCACATTTTTACTAATGCTCCAGATAAGGTTGTTTTCTCTGGTGTTTCACATGTCGGCATTAGTGATCATAGCTTAATTTATGCTTTTCGAAAGCTTTCTACAGGCATTTACAATAAAGGTCATTCCACCGTGACATATAGAAAATTTAAAAACTTTCACCTTGATAGTTTTCGGTCTGACATTTGTGCACAGAATTGGACTGCTGTAAACAACTTTAACGATCCAAATGATATGTGGCGGGTTTGGAAAAACACATTTAATAATGTTGTTGAAAAGCATGCTCCTTTACGCACGAGGCATGTCAGATCTTCTAAGTCGTGGATAACGCCTGAATTAAAACAACATATGCACAAAAGAGATATTCTAAAAGTTAAAGGGTATTGGCAACAAAAATTTTTATTGATTTTATTGCTTCATCTGAAGGAGCATGAAAAAATAAGCCGATTGGCCGTTTACTGCTCTATTCTATCTCATCTGGTTCCGAAGTTATACGCAAAAATGTGCAAAATATAAATTGCTGATTCAGCACATTCTGTGACGTCATAAGCTGGGTAAGTATGTTTATTGAATAGTAAACTAAAGCATAGCTGAGTTATTATTAGCTCAAATCAAATGAAATTTTGCATACAGATAGTACATGATGAGATGCATGGGAAAATACTTCTAATTTCGTTGTCAAGGCAACACAGTCGTTCCCAGGCCTCTTACACTGATTTTGAATAACTAGTTGCATTTATCTGTGTGTATGTCATTTTCAAATTATTATCATGCAAGTAAACTTTTAGCATGCATAGGTATGGTACACATACTTCTGATATTTTATTCTTATAAGTACCATGAATAAAGCTGTTTTATAAAATTGGCGCAAGGGACCTGGGAACGACATTGTTACCTTGGCAACAAAATTAGAAGTGTTTTTCAATGCGTCTCATCATGTACAATCAGTATGCAAAATTTCATTTGATTTGGGCCCATAATAACTGAGCTATGCTTTAGTTTAGTATTCATTAAACATACTTACCCAACCAATGACGCCACACGTTGTGCTGAATCAGCAATTTATATTTTACACTTTTTGCGTATAACTTCGGAACCAGATGAGATAGAATAGAGCAGTAAATGGCCAATCGGCTTATTTTTTCATACTCTTTCAGATAAAGCAATAAAATTTAGCATATAGCATATATCAACAGAGGTCATCCTTACGCCCGTGTTCTAAAGGCTTACTCCGGCACTCAATAAGTGGAAGTTCATCTGAGCTTCTCTCGAGTGTCACAGTTGCTGTTTTTGAATAGCTGGAGGGCCAGTGTCATACCTTACGATGTGACTACTCACCCTCCAGCTATTTAAAAACAGCATTGACACTTAAGAGAAGCTCAGATTGAACTTCCACTCATTGAGTGTGAGTGAGCTTTTAGAATACGGGCGTTAGACTTTAGATACAGGGGTCACCATAGATATCAATGGCATTAATAATTCATGAGTAAATTAGCCATGTACATTACGTTATTTTGCTCAGATGATAATACTGGATACCTGGTGAAGTATATATTGATCCAGTCCTAGGACTGGATCAAAATTAATTCAGTCCTTGGGCTGGATCAAAATTAATTCAGTCCTTGAACCGGATTAAAATTGATTCACCTCATTTTAAGTAGTGATCTGTTCGTATGAGATGTTATTCCAAATCCTCCAATTCGGACTGGACTAGATCTCAAGTCCTCGCATTTTGATCTAGGCTCAGATTCCAGCCGTTGTGTTCTCGCCACTCGCTCACTTAACGGCTGGGTCAATGGTTAATATTTCTTGTCTGTGACGTCAAGGTTAATATTTAAATTTATGCATATGTTTTGCATAATTATGTATTTCTGTGCAATGTAAAATGGCGGCTGTCAGGAGCGAACAATTTTGTTTCGAAGAGGAAATAGCAAATTTTAACAACTTTGTGCATTCATCGATAACTTTTTTGTAAAGGAAAACAGAACGGATACTTTTAAGTTCATTTGACAAAATGTTATTAAGTTCTAGTATGTTTTTAACGAAGAAAGGAACTGCAATGTACACGAGTCAATGAATATATTATATATCTAAATAGTAAAACAATAAACCCTACCAACAAAAGCAGGTGAATCTGAATAATTAACGTTTTATTTCAAACAAATAGTTTTTCAATGAATATTCTTTGAAGAGGAACATAAAGTTAATGTTAATATTTGAGTTTTTTATAGACTATAGTTATATGTAAATATGCAATTTTACGCCTTGTAATTAATATCTAAAAATTTTCCTTATGATCGATTTTGTTCGAGGGACAGTGAAGGAACTAAGTATTTTATAGACGAAACAATAGTCTGTCAAGATATGATCATTATGATGGTCTGGAAGCCTGCAAACTTCAAAGCTACAAAATAGAAGACCTAGTGTTTGATGTTGAACTGTACCTTACTGTGCACCTTCATAGATTTTGTTAAACAGTCTTTTGATGTAGCAAGAATATTTGAAATTTAAAATGTTCTTGGCTTTATTTCGGTGTTGTATAAGTTGTCTGTACAAATGGAGGCCGGGTGTGCTCATCGACCCATAGTTCAGTGTACGACTGTTGACCAAGTCCATAATCATTTGTAGCTACACACAGCAGTGAGGGGGTATTATCGTGGTAATGATGACAGGATATTGCCTTTCCAAATTGAAAAAATTATTTTATGAAATACCCCCCCACCTTACTCCCCTTTGCCAAAGTTAAGGGGGGTGCATCCCCATGGCAGTAAATACATCCAGGGATGGATCCAGCATGATCTGGTATGGGGATGATCTGGTATGGGGATGATCTGGTATGGGGGTGCTCTGCCAGCTCTGGTGCCGAGTTGTGTCGGTCATGTGTGCCACCCACCCATCAACTTGCTTCACTACTGCAAAGTCCTGCTTGACTACTGTATTTAAATTGTAATTGTTGTTCACATTCACATTTCGCTTATCATCATGTTATTACTCAAATTACTGTATGTCATTTTGTCTCTAATAATTTTTTGCTTTATCGTAAAAAATAGCACCCCCCTGGCCAGGGCTAGGGGGGTGCCCCCCCAGTAAATCCATCCCTGAATGCATCTCTGCAGGAATGCAAGAAGAATTTGGCTTCTTTTCCCCCATAAAAACTTAATCCCCCATGCCAGGATAATTTTGGTGTTTAACATTTTGATATTTTCTAAGTAAAGTGTTGCTGCAACAAATTTTCTGAACCCTTGTTTATTAGCTTAAATAAATATTCAATCTTTCAGAACTAGCAATTTATCATGCTTTGTCATTCTCAGTCTGGCTTTCATATGAACAGCCATTAAAAACACACATTGACATGACAACTATCCTTTTCTTAATACCATACTGACAAGGTTTTCAAAACTCAGCCTGAGAGCAAACATATTTGAGCTTGTTGAACAGACTAAATGCATATTTCACTGATGTCTGAATTTATAAAACATTGCATACTTTTATTCCATAAATCCTCTTAGTCTTAGGCTATCCAACAAGTCCCATTCTTTGCCCCTTCACAACATAGAAACACATGATACCAATTGCATTTATTTATTGCCCTTCAAACAACTATGTGCCCACATTTATCAATTAGTATTCATGGTAAATCATATTGTCAATATATAAAATAATATTGAATTTATTGTGCTTGCCTGTAATTAGCATATATATATGAGCACACTGATATATCAGTTTCAGTTCATATTACCTGCCCAGTCTAAAAAATATTGTCAAATGGCCCAAACTAGCTTGTGGGAGATCTAACTAAGCCTATTATTACCTAGCGCCATGGGTTCCATGAAAGGGCCTGTTTATAAAATCCCAGCTAGGCAGGAAGAGGTAGTTTCCAAGATCCTGACTATCATATCAACTCGTGTTCAAAAATACATGTATATATTTGATGAACTCACTCACGAACATGTATAAACATGACATCCTAGCTGCCTGGCAAGGTTTTCCACCTGACAAGATCATATAAACATGTCTTAATATTAATTAAAATAA